GCTCACTGCAAGCTCCGCCTCCTGGGTGCAAGCATTTCTGCCTCAGCCTCCTGAGTAGCTGGGATTACAGGTGCCTGCCACCGTGCTGGCTAATTTTTGTATTTTTAGTAAAGACGGGGTTTCACCATGTTGGCCAGGCTGGTCCTGAACTTCTGACCTCAAGTGATCCACCTGTCTTGGCCTCTCAGTATTATTATTTTTGAGACAGAGTCTCTCTCTGTTACCCAGGCTGGAGTGCAGTGGCACAACCTCAGCTCACTGCAACCTCTGCCTCCCAGGTTCAAGTGATTCTCCCACCTCAGCCTCCCAAGTAGCTGGGACTACAAGCACCCACCATCATACCTGAATAATTTTTGTATTTTTGTAGAGACAGGGTTTCACCATGTTGGCCAGACTGGTCTTGAACTCCCAACCTCAGGTGATCCACCTGTCTCGGCCTTTCAAAGTGCTGGGATTACAGGTGTGAGCTGCAATTTCTAAATACATTATTATTTTTGATGCTATTATAAATGGCATTGTTTTCTTAATTTCTTTTTCATATTGCTCAGTGTTAGTGTAGTTAGCAATGTGACTGATCTGTATGTATTTTTTACCCTGCAACTTTGCTGAATTTATTGTTCTAGTAGTGTGTTTGTGTGTGTGTGTGTGTGCGTGCGTGCGTGTGCACATGAGCACGGGGGCTAAGCCTTAGGGCTTTCTACGTATATAGAGCTTTCTACATATGTAGGGTTTCTACAATTTAAGATCATGTTATCTGTGAACAGAGATAATTTTACTTTTTCCTTTCTAAATTGTGTGCCTTTTATTTCTTTTTCTTGCCTAATTGTGGTGTCTAGGACTTCCAGTACTAGGTTAGATAGATGGTGAAAGTGGGCCTCCTTGCCTTGTTCCTAATCTTGGAGAAAAACTTGCAGTCTTTCACTATTGAGTATATTATAATCTGTAGGCTTTTCGTATATGGCCTTTATTATGTTGAAGAAGTTTTCTTCTATTTCTAGTTTCTTTAGTGTGTGTTTTTTGTTCTTGTTAAGACAGGGGCTCACTCTGTCACCAAGGCTGGAGTGCAGTGGCACAATCATGGCTCACTGCAGCCTATCCTCACACCTCAGCCTCCTGACTAGCTGTAACTATAAGCACACGCCACCATACCTGGCTGATATTTTTTATTTTTTGTGGAGCGAAGGTTTCACCATGTTGCTCAGGCTGGTCTCGAACTCCTGGACTAAAGCGAAACTTCTGTGTTGGCCTCTCAAAGTGCTGGGGCTACAGGCATGAGCTACTGTGCCCAGCCTCTTTTGTATTTTTTTCTTTTTTTATCATGAAAGGGTGTTAAATTTTGTCAAATGCTTTTTCTAAATCAATTGTGATGATCATATGTTTTTTTTTTCTGTCATTCTGTTAATTTGGCACATTGCATTGATTGATTTACGTATATTTAACCATCCTTGCATTCTAGAAATAAATATCACTTGATCATGGTGTATAATCCTTTTCATGTGCTGTTGAATTCTGTTTGCTAGTATTTTGGTAAGGTTTTCTGTATCAATATTCATCGGGCATGTTTGTATTTAGTTTTCTTATTTTGTAGTGCCTTTGTCTGTCTTCAGTATACATTGATCTCAAAGGATGAGTTGGCAAGTATTTTTTCCTCTTCATTTTTCTGGGAGAATTTATGAGGAGTTGGTAGTATTTTTTCCTTGATCACTGTGCTATGTGTTAGCTTGTAATGTTATTCTTCATCATTTGGCTTAGCAAACTTTGCCTTGGCTCTCCTGTGTTCCTGACTTAAATTATTATTGGCTGTAACAGCAGATACACCTAACATCAGAATACTCATTTTGCATGATGATTTGGTTGGCAAAATCCAAATCTTACTCTTTTTTTTGGTTTTAAATTTTAATCAAAGCTCGTATATAAGATTACTTTATTCCCGCATCTTCTCAATTGTTTCTTCCTTGTATTTGCTCTTTTCCTTTCCTAGTTGGTGAGATTTAGCTTTTTGTTCAAGGATCATTTTGCCGTCTTTGTCCAGTTTTAACCTAGTGAGAACTACCTTGCTTTGGCGAGTGCCCACATGGACGGTTGTGCCATTAACCTTTTCCTGCTGCACCCGTTCAGTGCAGATAACATATTTCTTCCTGTAAACCTGGACTACTTTGCCCATTTGCTGACCTTTATAGTGTCCTCATACAACCTGAACTTCATCATCCTTTCGGATGGGCATGGATCGCACATTGTACTTCTGTCTCAGCTCTTTGGAAAGAGAGGAAGACATAATCTTCCTGCAAATGTGGGAAGGTGCATTGAAATGCCTTTTGTGATTCTTGCTTCGGTCGGAAGTCACAAAGGGATTGAACTTCATTTCGGCCACCCTGGCTTCGATGATGGCCACAAAAGGGAAGAGAACTACACACTCATCTTACTCTTATTATAAGGAGTGTAGAGAGAGTTCAGTTTGTCTGAAGCCAAAATGAAAGAATAATAAAGTTGGAAGGGCTGAACCAGTGTCTTAACTGTCAGATTTACTATGCCTTTAAAAAATATTTTTAACATTTTTTTATTGCTGTAAAATGATATTCATAAACTACCTATACTTTAAAAATTAATATGTGTGAGAATAAGTAAAAGGAAAACAATTTATAATAACATGCATTTCAGTGTGTAAATCCTAGGTCAAACTTCACTAGAAGTAGGCCGGGCGCGGTGGCTCAAGCCTGTAATCCCAGCACTTTGGGAGGCCGAGACGGGCGGATCACGAGGTCAGGAGATCGCGGCGAAACCATTCACTGCTAAACACGGTGAGACGCCGCGTCTCTACTAATGAATACAAAAAGAACTAGCCGGGCGACGGCTGGCGGGCGCCCTGTAGTCCCAAGCTACTCGCGCGGAGCTGAGGCAGGAGAATGGCAGCAACCCGAGAGGCCGAGCGTTGCAGTGAGGCTAGATCCGCGCACCTGCCACTCCAGCCCGGGCATAGAGCAACCGACTCCCGTCTCAAAAAAAACCAAAAAAAAAAAAAAACTTCACTAAGAAGTACAGAGGCGTGCATCCTATATGTAAAATTAAATAAATATGAACAACGGCATACAAACTGGAGCCAATACAACAATTCAGCTTATTGTAACTCGCACTACCAAAAATTATCTTATCGCCCCCCCCCGCGGCGCGGTGCAAGCCTGTAATACCAGCACTTTGGACCAAGACGAGGGCGATCCACGAGATCCACAGAATACGAGACGCCATGCCTGGCTACACCGGTGACACCCCCGTCTCTACTAAAAAAAATAACAAAAGACTAGCGGGCGCCGAGCCGGGCGTGCGGCGACTGTAGTAACCCAGCGTACTCGGGCGCGAGAGCCTGAGGGCAGGAGAATGGGCGTAAACAGGCCAGGAAGGCGAAGCTTCGCAGTGGAGCGTGAGACCGTCCACTGCACTCCACCTGGGCGACAGACGAACTCGTCTCAAAAAAAAAAAAAATTCTTATCACGAGTGCTATTCTGTTGGTACCGTGGTGTTCCAGAATGTATAAATTTCTTGGAGAAATTTAAATAACATTTCTTTTAATTGATTACATAATATTTGTATTTGTGAAAAATTGCATTGTATCATTAAAATGGCAAAAACACTTGTGATTGAATTTTTTCTTATTTCTTGTTTGAGATGGAGTTTCACTCTTGTTCCCAGGCTGGAGTGCAGTAAGTGCGCGATGCTTCGGCTCACTGCAACCTTCAACTCCCTGAGGTTCAAGACAGTCTCCTGGCCTCAGCTTCCCGAGATGAAATTACAGGCATCCTCCACCATGCCCAGCTCATTTATTGTATTTTTAGGACAGACAGGATTTCACCATGTTGGCAGGCTGGTCTTGAACTCCTGACCACAAGTGATCCACCCACCTCAGCCTCCCAGAGTGCTGGGATTACAGGCGTGAGCCACCATGACCCGTCAAAAAAAATTTTTTTTTCAGAGGCAGGATCTCACTTTGTCACCCAGGCTGGTTTTGAATGCATGGCGTCCAGAGATCCTCCCACTTTGGTCTCCCAAAGCACTCGGATTACAGGTGTGAGACACTGATCTTGGTCTGTGTTTAGATTTGGAGTTTGGTTTTAGGCTTGGATAATTATAAATAGATTTTTTTTTCCTACATGAATGTCCTGTGAGATATTCAAAAGACACACAGGATTTGAGACAGTTCTTCATTGTGTGATACTGTCCGTTGCACTGTAGGATGGGCTAGCATTCCTTAGTACCCTCTACTAAATGCCAGTAGTCCACCCTCACAATTATTATGACAACCAAAAATGACTTCACAAATTTCCAAATGCCATATATGAGGTGGTAATGACATCCATAAAAAACTTCTAGGATAGAGTGATGAAGAAAAGAGATTTGCTGATAAAATTCTTTTTCTTCCCCATATACTCAATGTACTAAGCTAATAAGTGATAAGATTCTTGAGCAAAGGAGATAATGAAAGAAAAGTATGTTTGAGGCATATTCTGATAACTGTTTTCCAGGTAAGAAAGGAAAAAAGAAGCAACTTGCATTTTTTTCTGTTTTCTTTTCTTTTCTTTCTTTTCTTTTCTTTTTCTTTTTCTTTTTTTTTTTTTAGCAGTTACAGTTTATAAAGCATTTTCACAAATTTTATACACTTCACATCAACTGTGTATTTAGCATCTCCATCATTTTACAAAGGTTGCAGAGGGAGCTCAGAAATGCTGTGATTTATTAAAAGTCATTTTAATGAAAGACCTAGAGTTAAGATCCAGATATGGCTTCAAACCCAATGTTCTTTCCATTATATTATAGCATTGCTAGGATGATGAGGGCAGAAAAAGGAATTTTTTTTAAGAGGGAAAATTTGAGACTCACAATAAAGCTAGAATTAGCAAGACTTTAATTGGATAGCTTTAAATTAACTGTCACTGACATTCTGAGAAGAAAGGTGACCAAAGCTTCTTTTCAAACTGAGGATTAATACATACCCCCTTCTTTTCTTACAGGACATTGATATGCAGCTGAGTGAAATAATGAACAATGTGCATCGGATAATGACTCGCTATACTCTTGTTTTTGCCTCGTCCTCTGAAAGGAATGTCTCCCTTACAGAACAAAAGAAAAAACAGAGAACCAATTTTCTTGAGAAAATGGCTACTTATGCTAAGACTGTTGAAATTAGAGAAAAGACTCTTGCCAACATTCTGGTCTGGTTGGAAGAATGGAGTAAGTTTACAGAAGCGGTTCAGAGTAAAACCATAAAGTTAATGAAAAAGATAGAGAAGAGAATGTATAAGTAAATTTTGAAGGATTAATCAGACTAAAGAAGAAAAGACTAAGGAGGTTATTCAGAGAATGGTTATCCTCTATTCCAGTAGGAATAAAATAGGAAAAATATAGACTTGTTCACTAAGCGCCAGCTATGCTGGCCTCCTTTTTTTTTTAAAGCATGCCAGCAGTGTCTTTATGCATACTATTCCCTTATCTGGAGCATCTTCCACCAGATGGACACATGGCTCATTCCCTGCTTAAATTCCACTTTAAAATGAGATGTTCTCTGACCATCCCGAATCCCTACCACCTGGCACTTTTTCTTACACTTTACCTTTTTTTTTTTTCCCCCCAGGACGGTCTCACTCTGTCACCCAGACTGGAGTGCAGTGGTGCGATTCCGGCTCACTGCAACTCCCGCCTCCCAGGCTCAAGCGATTCTTCTGCCTCAACCTCCTTAGTAGCTGGGACCAGAGGCATGCACCACCACACCCAGCTAATTTTTGTATTTTTAGTAGAGACAGGGTTTCACCATGTTGGCCAGGCTGGTCTTGAACTCCCACCTCAAACGATCCACCTGCCTTGGCCTCCCAAAGTGCTGGGATTACAGGCATGAACCACTGTGCCCAGCCTACATTTCTTTATTTTTGTTTATAGCATTAGTATCTATATAATTAACTTTTTCTCTGTCTCCTTTCACCAGAAGGTAAGCAGTATGAAGTCAGGGAACTTGTTTTACTTAATGTTGTATCTACAGCATCTAGAATAGCACACGTCAGAGTAGACACTGGTTGAATGAAACAATGAATAAACTGGTCAGGTGTGGTGGCTCACGCCTGTAATCCTAGCACTTTGGGAGACTGAGACAGGTGGATTGCCTGAGCTCAGGAGTTCGAGACCAGCCTGGGTAACACGGTGAAACCTCGTCTCTACTAAAATACAAAAAATTAGCCAGGTGTGGCGGCATGTGCTTGTATTCCCAGCTACTATGGAGGTTGAGGCAGGAGAATTGTTTGAACTGGAGGTGGAGGTTGCAGTGAGCGGCGAGTCGCGCACTCGTACTCCAAGCCCTGGGGCCAGCGTGGAGACTCATTTTTCAAAAAAAAAAAAAGAAATGAATAAATCTAAGAATACCAAACAAGGGGAATTAATTTTATTTTGTTGCCTAAGAAATTTCATGCAACGAGGTTTATAATACTGGATAATGGCCGGGTGTGGTGGCTCATGCTGGTAATCCCAGCCCACTTTGGAGGGTCGAGGCTGGCAGATCACCCCAGGTCCAGGAGTTTGAGATCACCCTGGCCAACATGGTGAAACCCCATCTTACTAAAAATTCAAAAATTAGCTGGACGTGGTGGCTCAGCCTCTGGTCCCAGCTACTAGGGAGGTTGAGGCAGGAGAATCGCTTGAACCTGGGAGGTAGAGGTTCCACTGGGCTGGAGATTGCGCCACTGCACTCCAACCTGGGTTGAGAAGTGAGACTCAGTCTTAAAAAAAAAAAAAAAAAAAAACTGGATAACTTGCCAAATGAGTTAATTAGGGCTTAGACTCCAAATATTAAAACACATACACATAGGCCGGGTGGGGGGCTCAATGCCTATAATCCCAACGCACTTTGGGAGGCTGAGGTGGGTGGATCACCTGAGGTCAGGAGTTCAAGACCAGCCTGGCCAACATGGTGAAACCCCGTCTTTACTAAAAATACAAAAATTAGCTGGGCATGGTGGCACATGCATGTAATCTCAGCTACTCGGGAGGCTGAGACAGGAGAATTGCTTGAACCCGGGAGGCGGAGGTTGCAGTAAGTTGAGATAGCGCCACTGCACTCCAGCCTGGACAGAGCAAGATTCTGTCTCAAAACAAAACACACACATACACACACACATAATTTTAGGTACCAAACCAGACACTTTTTAACCTGATTAATGTATTTATGTCTAAGACTTACTGTTTAGCCTTCTATTCCAAGTTTCTTCCTTTTTAATTTCTTCATAGAGAAAAGCCTCAGAATGGCAGTAAGTGTGAGATACCTATATTCCCCAATTTACTATATTGAGTAGTTACCCAATATTATAAGCCTATGTAGCTATAGATTTTTATTTTTCTGCATAAAAACGATTTTTTTTTTACTCTCTTCAAGATGCTGTTTTGTCTGAGATGACTCTAATGGATGTTGATGAACACTACCACTGGATAGCACGAATGGAGATGTTACCAGATACGTTAAAAGCTATTGAGAAAAATGTCAAGATACTAAGCAGATTTAGTACAGCTTTCCTTGATGAAAAGAAGAAACAAAAGAAAAAAATATGTAAGCATGCTTTATGATTTTGGAGTTGGAGTAGATGGAGTTTTTTTTTTTTTTTTTTTTTCCAGACAGTCTCGCTCTATCACTCAGGCTGGAGTGCAGTGGCCTGATCTCAGCTCAATGCAACCTCTGCCTCCAGGTTTCAAGCGATTCTCCTGCCTCCACCTCCAGAGTAGCTGGAACTACAGACATGTACTACCACGGCCCTGGCTAATTTTGAATCTCTAATAGAGACTAGGGTTCACCAGCTGCCAGGCCTAGTGTCCAGACTCCTACCTCCAAGTTAACCCACCTGACTTGGCCCTTCCAAATTGCCTGGGATTAAAGGCATGCAGGCCAACTGCACCTGGCCCAAAAAAACCCCAGCTTTAATTAAGCATAATGTTGCATACATGTTAAGTATACAATTAAATGATTTTCCGGTAATTTTACAGAGTTAAATGCAGTTATCACCACAATCTTATTATTTACTTTTTATTTAAATTTATTAATTTTAAATTTTTTTTTTTTTTTTTTTTTTTGGAAGACAAGGGTCTCCTCTGTCACCAGGCTGGATGGCAGGGTGAATTCTTGGGCTCACTCAACCTCCGCCTCTTGGGTCAAAGCGGATTTTGTACCTCAGCCCTCGGGAGTACTGGGATTTACAGGCACCTGCCACCATGCCGGCTAATTTTTTTTTGTATTTTAAGTAAGAGACAGGGTTTTTCCACTGTTGACTCAGGATGATTCCAAACTTCTGACCGTCAAATAACCACCAGCCTTGCCCTCGCCCCAAAGTGCTGGGATTACTAGGTGTGGAGTCACCGGCACCCGGCCAACAATCTATTTTAGAACATTTCATTCATCCCAAAAAATCCTCCATACCCTAATTTTATAGTCAATCCTTATACCCATCGCAGCCACCAGACCAGTCCACTGAATGTATTTTCTTTTATACAACATTTGTG